TGCCAGGCCTCTACTGCAACTGTCTTCAGTTCCTGCTTGTTCTTGGGTCATTTTCCCTTCAGTTTTGTCTTCAGCAAGTGAAATGCATGCTCAATGAGATTCAGGTCAGGTGATTGACTTGGCCATTGCATTACATTCCACTTCTGTCCCTTCAAAAACTCTTTGGTTGCTTTTGCAGTATGCTTTGGGTCATTGTCCATCTGCATTGTGAAGCACCGTCCAATGAGTTCTGCAGCATTTGGCTGAATGTGAGCAGATAATATTGCCCGAAACACTTCAGAATTCATCCTGCTGCTTTTGTCAGTGGTCACATCATCAATAAATACAAGAAAACCAGTTCCATTGGCAGCCATACATGCCCAAGCCATCACTGATGAGGTGGTATGCTTAGGATCATGAGCAGTTCCTTTCCTTCTCCATACTCTTCTCTTCCCATCACTCTGGTACAAGTTGATCTTGGTCTCATCTATCCATAGGATCTTGTTCCAGAACTGTGAAGGCTTTGTTAGATATTGTTTGGCAAACTCTAATCTGGCCTTCCTGTTTTTGAGGCTCACCAATGGTTTACATCTTGTGGTGAACCCTCTGTATTCACTCTGGTGAAGTCTTCTCTTGATTGTTGACTTTGACACACATTCACCTACCTCCTGGAGAGTGTTTTTGATCTAGCCAACTGTTGTGAAGGGTGTTTTTTTCACCAGGGAAAGAATTCTTCGGTCATCCACCACAGTTGTTTTCCGTGGTCTCCCGGGTCTTTTGGTGTTGCTGAGCTCACCAGTGCGTTCCTTCTTTTTGAGAATGTTCCAAACAGTTGTTTTGGCCACGCCTAATGTTCTTGCTATCTCTCTGATGGGTTTGTTTTGTTTCTTCAGCCTAATGATGGCTTGCTTCACTGATAGTGACAGCTCTTTGGATCTCATCTTGAGAGTTGACAGCAACAGATTCCAAATGCAAATAGCACACTTGAAATGAATTCTGGGCCTTTTATCTGCACATTGTAATTGGGGTAATGAGGGAATATCACACACCTGCCCATGGAATAGCTGAGAAGCAATTGTCCCATTACCTTTGGTCCCTTAACAAGCGGCAGGCACATATGCAAACTGCTGTAAGTCCTACACCGTCCATCTGAGTTGGATGTACATACCCTCAAATTAAAGCTGACAGTCTGCAGTTAAAGCACATTGTGTTTGTTTCATTCCAACTCCATTGTGGTGGTGTATAGAGCCAAAGATGTTAGAATTGTTTCAATGTCCCAATATTTCTGGGACTGACTGTATATGTGCAGAAGGAAAAAAGGGCTCAACGCCACTAACTCCTCACCAATCTTTTGCAGTGCCACTACATCAAATCATTAAAAGTATGAACACTATTATAAACACAATTTAAAAACTTCTACAAAACATCAACGGATACGTCCACTTCCTCAACTGCTTAAAGGTTTAGCAGCTCTTGCAGTATGTTATATAGTATAAGGTTAGCCTTTGCTGACAGTAGTACTGTTTAATATACATCTTTATCAGTAGCACCTATTTCAAAAGACAGAAGTCAATCTGAGCCCAATAGCAGGAAATATATTTTTCTTAAACCAGCATAATTTTCTGGTTGTGAAAACATTGAAAATTGAACTGTGGGTCACAGTAATATTTGCCCATATACACACAAACACACCTGCACATTTTATGCCTGGATAGCATTTGGATCAATGTTATATTAGCAGAACGATAAACAGAAATGAGCTGAGCTAGATGGTAGCTACCACTTCTGCCTATCTGCATTATCAGGAGGAAAACTACTAACAAATGGGAGAATGCCAATTGCTGTAACAGCAAAGTTAGTCTAGATCTACAATGGCATAGAGAATCTATGTTATGTGCAAGAAGATGAAATCAACTTATCACCTAAACTATTTTAATAGCATCGTATAAATACTAAGAAAAGAAACTTATTACCAATTACTCTGGATAAGAGTAATAGGTAATCAAACAATATGAGATCTTTTAAATGCTGGTATCTGGTCAGTCTTTTTATAGTAGCAAACTAGCCATTTTTCTCCAATGACTGATATGGCTTCAAAGTCAAGAAAATTTAGAAATCAAAACCTATTTCACTTATTATTAGAAAATCATTTTTTAAAAAAACATCAGTCAGTGGTGACTACCAAGATGACACTTGGGGCAACAGTAAAATGTTTAGTTCCACTGATTAATGGAATGAGTCTTTAGTAACATTCCTCATTTTCAGTGTCCTACCCCAAGGGAAGAAGCCAGCTTTGAATCCATATACATATCAGAAGATTAACAGAACAGCAATTTTGAATGCTTTGTGAGGTAATCAGTCAATGAGTATTCTTCTTGTCCCTTTGATGCATGTGGGAAACTGTGAAACGGCTTCCTTACAGACTTTGCTGCGCAGGTCCCATAGCTTGAGTGTTCTGTCATGACTCCCAGATACAATGCGAGCTTTGTCCAGAAGGAATTTTGCTGATAAAACCTTTCCACTATGCCCCGTGAGCGTGTGCTAGAGAAATTGACATTATGTAAGAAAACAATTTTTTACAACACTTGGTCTCACTATTCAATAGTTTAACAGAAATAGAATTTTAAAGAATTACCTAGCCTTCATTCTACACTGACAATTAAGAAACAGTCTTTATATATACAAGTATGGTTTTGGTATTTGATCTCCAAAAGGCTGCATATACACGTAGTCTTGACTTAATAAGAGTTTTTTAAGTGATCGCTGAAAGGTACAACAGCACTGAAGAAAGTGACTTATGGCTGTTTTTCACACTTATGACCGTTGCAGCATCCCCATGGTTTGAATCGAAATTCAGATCGGCTTGGCAACCAATTCATATTTATGAAGGTTGCAGTGACCTGGTTCATGTGATCACCTTTTGTGAACTGACAACCTAAGTCAATGGGGAAGCCAGATTCATTAACAATCGCAGTGATTCACTTAACAACTGTGGCAAGAAAGGTAATAAAATGGGGCAAAACTCACTTAAGAAATGTCTCTCTTAGCAATATAAATTTTGAGTTCAAATGTGGTCGTAAGTCAAAACTACCTGTATTTTTTCTTGTGTTATATTTAACAATGGAGCACAGATATGGTTGGTAAATGAAACCTATAATTGTCTATGCTGGGAATACGCAACGAGATATGGCTCACTGTTATATCCTGTTTCCATTTGTTTCCTAGGAATATTTGGTTGACCATCTTCAAAAAACCATTATCTGGTCTCTGACCCATCAGTGAAGTTCTACAATTTTAAAAGAGAAGTCCTTTCCAAGTATAATTTAATACAGGTAGTCCCTTGACTTACAAGTGCTTATTTAGTGCCCATTCAAAATTAAAATGGCACCAAACAAAGGAACTTATGATCTCTGCCTAAAGTTACAGCCTCTACAGCCTACCCCTCAATCACATGAACAAAATTTGGGCATTTGACAATCCAACTGTCTTTAGACCCAATCGCAGGGATGCTGCAGCAGTCCCCCAACTATCCCGCCCCACTGGGTCCCTGCATTCCCAAATCCTTCTTCCCACTCCCAAAACAGCATCCACTTCTGGGATGGCTCCACGTGGTCTCCACTATGCAGGAAGGCTGTGTGGTGGAGAAGCTGCTTGCTCAAGGAGACCTTTCAAAAAAGTAAGTGGCCAAACTGTGATGGGGTATGGGAAGAAAGGTATGGGAAACAATGGGGCGGGAAAACTGGCCCAAGGCCAGTGCAGACCCAGTAAGGCAGGAAAGAAGGCCCAAGGCTTGCAGGAATCCAGGGGTGGGAAGCAGAGCATGGGCTGCCTGATGGGATATGGGAGTCCCTGGGAGACTTGGGGAGCTGGGGGAGGTGCTGCAGTGTGGGCCTGCACTAGATCATAGGCAGAGTAAAGATTGGAGTCATTAAGTGAGGTGATCATATGTATGTTTTTCTTAATTACTATCGTGAGTTGTGACTGAAATGGCAGGGTCCATTATGGTTGTAAGTCGAGCACTACCTGTACTTACTATTAAATAAATAAATATTATTTACTGTACTTACTATTAAATAAAGTGCAATATACAGAAGATCATTAACAAATCTAGTAACAGTTCATAATCTATGGCAGAGCAGTTCTAGCAGTTTGCTAATTTTTAATGCAGGGTTCTCAGGGACTGAAGCTAAAGCTGTCTGCACCTACCTTCTGAGCTATGGTTTAAAAAAAAGGAGTGGATTAGAGAAGGAAAGTAATGAATACGGAATATACTTTTATGTTTACCAAACCAGTTTCAAAAGTTTGGCAGCCTAGTGCTGTTACTATCCATTTTTATAGTGTTTAGTTACTATTAAAATATATGCAGAGTTATAAAATTACATAATTCTTTCAGAATCGTATTAATTTGGAAAAAATACTTAATATCTGTTTCCAAATAGTATGTTCAAATCACTTTGTGTTGGAAATATCAAACAAGTCATATAAATAAAAATAGGTAAAAAACGATTAAAGGGCAACTCAAATTTTAATCTATTGAGAGTTAACATCCATTATCACACCCAATTTCTAACGTCTTTTTTATAGCTATAAACCTTGCCAGAATCAGGCACATGTGCCATGTCTTGGAAGAAATACTCACCCGTAACCGATGATCATCCACTGTCCAGATCCTACTGGCATAGTCATTTGAAGCCGCTAATAAGTAGGAACCCTATGGAAATGATTTTTAAAATGTTTGCTATAATAACCATTTTTACAATCTGCAATTTCTACGTAATTTTATTTCACATTATTTTATGATCTCTTATCTCAATCTAGGCCATTGCCTAATCTTATCACTTCATTTAGGGTTTATTTACAACTTTTTAAGCTTCATTACCATTACATATTCTTGTCTACCGTGATTCAATTTTTTCCTTCCATTATCTTCCCATTTATTTGCCTCATCCATTCTTTCTCCCATTCTTAATTCTTCTTTCTGTTGCTAATGTCCTGCACAGAGATGTTTTGCTTCATTAAGAGGTCTCAGTTTAAAAAGCTGAGTTCATATACCCATCTAATAGCCTCCAATACTTAAAACTCCTTTATTGTTTTATGTTGGATAACAATTTCAGCGGTGTCTATTCAATACTCTACAAGGACACAAGCTGAATGTATCACAATGTATCAGCAAATATTCTTCCACACATAGCATTTCTACAGCTTGATGGCAGAGTAACTGCTGGGAGTTAGATGGTACGGGAAGCAATATTCTGGGCAAATCAGACCTTTTACTATTCATCACTGACCTCAGCAAAACATTGTTGCCCTCTCTTGTAGAAGTAGTACAGACTTAAGTTATATGCTTCCGCATTATTAAAAAAATAACCTGCTCATGGTATATGCTCAAAGAACATATACCGCTTATTTTTACAGGCAGCAGTCCTAACTTTTGCAGGTACTTCCAAAAGGACAAAAAATAGAATAAAATAGTGTTACTAAAAAGATGATAATTTTATACCACTTTTCTGACTTTTAACGTACATTGGTATTACTCAGAGAAGAGGATGGGCATATCAGAAACTATGGGTTCAAAAATTTTTAAAGTAGACATAATTTCTTTTCTTTTCGGGAGGGTAGATAATCAGTTGGGGGGAAAAAATGGAACTTTGTTTTTATATATGACATCAATGGCAAGGTTGCTATCTGCCCAAAAATGGAAAGAAGAAAATATGCCTACAATGGAAGAATTTTATTTATTTATTTGTATCTCCCTTTTATTATTTTTACAAATAACTCAAGGTGACAAACATATCCAACAACATTCCTCTTCCTATTTTCCTCACAATAACAATCCTGTGAGGTTAAGTTGGATTGAGAAGGTGTGATTGGCCCAGTGGCGCAAATCACCTAGCTGGCTTTCATGGCTAAGGAAGGATTAGAATTCATGGTCTCTGCTTTCTAGTCTGGTGCCTTAACCATTAAACCAAACTGGCTTTTGAAAATGATGGAGCCAGTTGAGATAGTGAAATTAACTGCTTTTCTTAGAGACAATAATTTGATCAAATTTCTTTTGACTTGGAGGCCGCTGTTAGATTTCTTATAAGACAAGGGAGAAAAAATCAACTTGACTTTGGAATTTGAGGATTGGATTGGATTGAATTAGAGAAATACTATAGCTTTTTAAATATAGAATTATTCATATTTTGCAATTCATTACCTTTGGATTAAAATCAAGAGAATATTTTATGAATATCGGTATTTTAGAAAGTTAATTATTAGTGTTTTAAGGTATCAATATCTAGCACATCACTTATGGTATTTCCAGAACAGTCAATATATACCAATACCAAGCAAACTGCATTGTGCAGCAATTCAATCCTATTCCATTATTTATTTTTATATTTACTGTTCTTCGGGAAATGCCATAAGTGAAGGATTAATGAAGCAAGGCAGAACATATTTGCAAAAAAGAAATACATCCATACTCACAGCATTATCAAACTCTACACTAGTAATCCCTGCATTACTGCCAGATAGGGAGGCTTTAAATTCACACTTATCTGTAATACAAAAGAAAAGATTTAGGAGGCAAGAAAAAGCATGAATGCCCATCAGTTTCACTCAATCTAGCTAAGAAACATAGCTCAACGATATAAACCACAGAACGGATCATTTAGAATTAGTGATACGTCATTTCTATTTCTTGATTCATAAAGCTGATTTATATCTAAGGCAGGCCATAAGACTCAGTTTTGACTACTCTGTCTTATAATGATACTCTTCAGAATTTGGACACAGAAAGTTCTCTTTCCCAAACCTAAGTATTTCACAATATTCTTCTAATGGAAATGATAGGGATTATCAAACCAAGATTGTGCTGCATCACTAGACCCATATATCCATCTCCTTCTACTTATGACTGTATGACTGTAATTTTGTTACTTGTATCCTTACGATTTATATTGATATTGTTTCCTGGTTGCTTATTTGTACCCTATGACTATCATTAAGTGTTGTACCTTATGATTCTAGATGAACGTATGTTTTATGTACACTGAGAGCATATGCACCAAGTCAAATTCCTTGTGTGTCCAATCACACTTGGCCAATTAAAAAATTCTATTCTATTCTATTCTATTCTATTCTATTCTATTCTATTCTATTCTATTCTATTCTATTCTATTGTCTGGAAAAGACATTTTATCTCTCCAACACACTAAGGAATTTATTTCGGGATTCCTACATTAATTTCTTAGTTCAGAATTGTAGCTACCTTTCAAAGATATCAACTATGGAATCAATCTCTGAACAAAAAAGCATGTCTCCATGAATTAAAACTTGCTTCTTTTATCTACATTTCTTTAAAGGACTTACCACCAAAAACTTCCCAAATTTTGACCCTCCGATCCAAGCCTCCTGTTGCTAATAACCGAGAACCAGGGCTGAATTGGACTGCGTTAACCTCCCCATCATGTGCATCCTAAGATGAAGAAAAACAATACAGACAACAATTACTGATGATTTCAGGACCCAGATCTGTCAGCCTCTAGCAGCATATATAAAAGAACTGAACGAGGTTCTAACAAAGTAACAAAAAAAGTCTATCAACTCTTGAGTTCTTCAGTATGCATTTGTTCAAAGCTATAAGAGACTTTATGAGACCCAGTTTGGTTAAGACATCAGACTAGAAACCAGGACACTGTGAGTTCAATCCTGCCTTGGGTATGAAGTCAGCTGAATGATTTTGGGTCAGTAACTTTCTCTTAGTTCTAGGCAGAAAGCAATGGCTAATCACTTCAAAAAATGTTGCCAAGAAGACTTCAAGGACCTGTCCAGGCAGATTGGACATGATTGAATGAAGGAAAAAAAACTAAGTACATATACAACCAATCTTAAAAAAAACAGAACAAAGCCTATGGACAGGTTTTTTTGCATTTACCTCCTAAAATGCTGCATTCAGCAAAATACTGATAAAATGATAAAAATTACATGTTGAAAAGCAGTCAAGAAAATAATGGGATATTAGTAAAACAGTAAATCTGACTATCTTATATATCAGAATGAAAAAGAAAATTTGAGCCAATTTTGCACTTATAAGGTTAAAAGGTAAAGGTTTCCCCTGTCCAGTCATGTCTAGCTATAGGGGGCCAGAAATCTCTGTTTCTTAGCCAAGGGAACCAGCATTGTCCAAAGACTTTTCCGTGGTCATCATGTGGCCAGCATGATTATACGCAGAGGTGCACAGAACTTCCCACTAAAGTGTTACTTATTTACCTATTTGTATTTGTATGCTTTCAAACTGTTAGGTGGGCTGGAGAAGTAACCGGAGCTCACCCCATCGCACAGCGCTCAGGTCTTGAAACCAAGCTGTCAGCTTTCCAGTTGACAAGCTCAGCACCTTTAATGGCTGAGTCACCGCATCCCCTTTATAAAATAAAGCAACTGCTAAATTTGTATTTGTGTCTGCATGTTTGTATGTATTTTTCCTAGATTATGTTTAGTACTTGTACAATATGAAGTGATTTCACACTGTTTAGGATTAAATGCTTACATTATAGAAACATATTTTATGTGTTTATTCCATGTCATTCACAAAAGTATTCCATATACGTGATCATATTATTTTAATGACTTTATGCATTTAATTAAAAAAAAAACTATTACAGAAGTTAAAAGTAGAAAAATGATACTGAGTCAGAAAAAAATATTTGCAGGAAATAAAGAGGTCTCAGCTTGAAAACTAAAGTTCATGCACGTTAGAACACATTCCAGAACTGTCAGCTCCTTGACTGGTTTTGTTGGGAGAAAGTCAACCCTAAGTGCTTTTGACTGCAAGCAACATGAACTGACGATACCCACATAATGTCAGCAGCTTCATAACATCTGACAGCATTACTGGAGCATGGATGGGAGAAAAGAAAACTGCTGGGAGCTCTGGAAGTTGTGGATATGCAATTTCACTAGTGCAATCAGACCATTCTGTAATCATCATTGACCTCAGTATTTATTAGCATTTCTCAGGTTTTGGCTGGTTTAAAAGACCCAATTTCTTGTTGCAAAAGCCACACTACAATTCTTTCCAAAGTCACAAAAGCCCCTTTGGCTAGCCATGTCAGGAACATATAGCATCTCATCAGGAAAACAAAGAAATAATTGATTGAACTTGAAGTAAAACCTGAAGCACTTTACACGCTTACACTGCAAAGTATCACAAAAAAGTAAATGGGAAAACTACTCAGTAAAACATATTCATTTTTTTAAGATAGTGAATCCAAGACATACTTACAAAGACACACACTGCTGTGTTGGGTAGTCGGACCTCTCTGCTTGCAGTAGGAAGTACATCAGTATTATCTTGAGGGATAGGACATGAGGATAAGGAACGCCTTCTGAGAAAGTTACATCGATATACAAATAAGTATATAAAGAAAATTAACTATCTGTCCAGACTATAGGCAGGGGATGACCTCAACTACACAATAGGTAAAAATGGAAGGAAAGGAAAGGAACCTTAAAACAAATTCAAGTATTCAATAAAAACAGGGAATCAATACCCCGAGATGGTTGTGCATATTAGGGACTCTATAGCCTTTGCATCTGGTTTCTTACATGAACCCAAACAATTGCATAAAAACTCCTTATGCCATAGTGGAGAATAGGTTATCACCATTACAAGTGTTGAACTGAATCCCAAATTAAAATTGTTTGAGTTGAGGTACACCAATATTTATTTATTTGTTTATTTGTTAAATATCTGCTATTGTTAAATCCTTTTTCCTATACGAGGTAAATTCTATTTAGTTGTAAGGTACATAATCTATGATTAATGCTTAATTTAAAACTCACATTTCATTATTAACAGAGAGCTTCTACATAATACAAAAAAATAACTAAAATGACTGGGCACAGCAATCATGTAGATTATGTCCAGCATTTCTTCCCTACTGTAAGTAGTTATACCTCATGCATCCATAATATAGCTATGTATTATTTAACTAGAATGTCTTTTTAATGCTACAGAAACAACCCAAGACAATTATTCAGCAACCCTCATCACATGCTAAATTAAGCGTGAATAATTTCAAGCAAATTTTCACCTGGCAGTATCAGAAGAGTGATGTCCCAAAAGGGGAGACTCAGACAGACTGGAGGGAAAGATCAGAGGTCAGCACACAGCAGAAGTAAGGAGTTGAACACAAAAGAAAAGGAGAGATAGGAGCTAGAAGAAGGCTTGACATAAGAAAAATTGTTTGAATGCCTAGTATTACTGAAGTGCTGCTGTATATTGAACTAATATGTAATGAAAAGGTAAATGCATACCAACCTACCCAAAGATATTAGTGATAGAATCCAGAAGGCCTCCAGTGGGCTGGGAGAGTCGCTTACTAAAGAGAAGGGGAGGACAGTTTTCAAGGAGATCAGAACACACAAGCCCATAACTCTCAATTTTGAAGCCCCACATTCAGAAGGAAAGCAAATGATAACAGGACAGCACAAAAAGCCACCATCTTGGTTCTTGGTTCAAAAGCTTGCATAAACAATTATGAACTGAACACTGTTGATACATGAGCAGGAAGAAGAAGGCTCCATAAAAGATATAATTCGCTGGAATTTTGAGAATAAAATTAAAGGTATACTTATATGAAAGCAGAACATATTCCCAAGCATTCTCATGACTAATGTGATGGTTGGCCTATAATAGTCTTTAACAGGAAGTGTAAATGTTTTTGCTTTTTAAACCAGTTTAAATGGAAAGACTTTAAGTTCTGCATGTTTTGTTTGCAGATTCAATTACAATGTAGAATTGGAAAGAAATTTGTCAAAGAATCTATTATTTGCAGCTGTCAGTAACATTAGATGGGCTAACTGTCCAAAAAGGCAATGTTTTATAAAGCCTGCAGTATTAACTAGCATGGCCCTTAACATATGCAACCTTTATAATTTTGATCTTGTTAATATTTACACAGAGAGGATTTGAGTCTCCCTTTACTATTACCATGACATGGGTCTGCCATAAAGAAACTGAGAACATTGGTACAAGCCCAACTCTTGAAAGCTATAAGACAGGGGTGTCAAACTTGTGGCATCACGGCAGTGTCACGTTTACATATCGGGGCTTTTTCCCCCTTCGCTAAACCAGGCGGGGGCAGGACCAGCATGTGACGCATCTGGCCCACGGGCTGGAATTTTGACAGCCCTGCTGCAAGAGGCCACTTCCTAACTGATAAAGCATGTTTAAATTCAAGGCCACAAAAGCTTTATTTACACTGCTCTTTCCAGTGTCAGGAATAAACACTGCTATGGTAAAAAGTAGATGTGGATAGAAAAAGAGAGACTCCTTCCCTATATTTATTTGTGAGCACTACAATTCAGAAACTTTCCTAGCTAATGATACTGAAAAATAGACATTTCCACAAAAAAAATCAGTAGAAATAACATCACTAAACTCTGTAACTATTGGAGTGTTTCCTCTGGGCATAATTCACTAGTTAATTTTCCCATTTGCATCCCATTAAAAATAAATGGGAGCAAAAAACATCAGCTGTGCAATTCTCATTTTATTACAATAGTTACAATAGCAGTTAGCTGATAAATTATTTTCATACTGGCATCTGTTATCAATTAATTTATCTATCCAAGAAAGAATAATTTTTCTCAATATATTTTCTTCTCAAAATGAATTCCCTGAAGCAAATCAGGAATACCTATGAATTTTTTCCCACATGAAAATAATTCATAAACTCTTTCGAAAATATATTTTCAAATATCTCTGCTCACATATTACCTTGCTGTCCGTGTGACAGCACGAACTGGAGATGTATCCTCAGCTGGATCGGAGGTTTCATCAGCAAGGACTTCAATATCATCATCCCTGAAGAAAGACAGATCATTCCGTGAATGTTCAAGAAGATCAGGCATTTCATATTAAATAGCCCTCTTCCCCTACTATTTCAAATACAGAATTTCACTTCTATTTTTAAAAGCATAGGTCTTAAGAGATGGTGTGAACAATAACTGAACAACAGAATTAGCTATGCCATGGCTGTATTTTATTTGCCTTTTATAATTCGTAATCATATTATTTGCCCTCTTGTAATATCAATCGTAATACATTCAGGAAATTAAGTTGGGCTCAGGTGCAAAAAATCAGGATCACGTTAAGTATTGCTCAATCCTATACTAATCATCAGCACTAAACTGGCACTAGATAAGAATTAACAGAATTCAAGGGGGTGGGGGTCTGGGCTTGGATTGTTGAGAGAACGTAATTAATCCAGATTGATTCCTCTCTTGACTTCACCCCCAGGCTCTGCCTTTTATTCGACAGTTAGGCAGGAATAAACCTGCTGTACTTTAAAATAATTTTAGAACTGTATCAATGCACTAAAATAAATAAACTTAAAAATATAAATAAACTTAAAAATAAATTTAATTAATTCTTAGCCCAAACAAATTCACTTAGTACACAATGCAATAAAATAAGCTCAACTGAAGCAAAGAAAAATATGTTCTGTGTACAGTAACTTCTAAACTGAACAGTCAGATGCCTATATAATTATTTAAAGGAAAAAAAATTATGGCTGGTTAATCTGATGAACTGCTAATTCTTCCACTTGATGTAGCCATTGAGTTGTAAAGAAAGTATTAAGCTCAGAAGACCAAGATAGAAAAGAAAAATAAAGAAAAATAATCTGAGTCAATATAGAACCAACAAAGGTATTGCAAATTGTAACTCTAAAGTCAGTAAATATCAAAAGTTTCAAAAATTAACAGATATAAAAATAATAAAGTATTGCTGAAAAGATAAAAAAGATACAACTTTTTTAAAAATCAGAATTTTAGCTTGGCAGAAGAAATCTAACCCTATTATGGTTCAGTTAAAAAAGGAGATGAAAACATTAATGAAGGTAAAGGTATAAAATCCACCAGGCTTGCTCACCCGAAGCTGCTGTTAATAAATAAATTTGCTCTTCTACTTCTGATTTTTCTAGGAACACATAGTATCACAGTTGGGAAAGGGGAACATAATTTCCCCCGCCCAACCTAAGAAAATAATCGCCATCTTTACCTCCAGTCTCCACAATGTTGTTGCTAGTTAAATTAGGAAACTTTTATCATTTGACCACACTGTTTACATCGGAATCCTGATGAATAGTAAGAAGACAATAAGCATGCAGCTTGGATAACTCATTTTTATATTTTCAGCCTGTAAATGGAAATAATGTTGTCATTAGGAAGTAATTAGACTGATGAATGCTTACTGTTCAATTGGCAGTGGTTCTTTAGCAGCTTCTGCTAGTTCTTTCTGAAGCCGAGCTTGCCTTCTCCTAACAGAAAAATATTAGAAAATACATGTCAACTCTGTAATATTTATCAATATTCATTTGAACAGCTATATTCAAAGTATTAAGGAATGGATAATTAGGAGAAATTATTGCCTTAAGCTCCCTGGAATAGAACTTCCAGGTGGATAGACTTGTTGCCTCAAAAATATATTTATATCTTGACACTAGTAAAATATAAAGCTTATCAGAATATGCTGGTTCTCATGTCTCTAGGCCCAAGTGAAAACTTAACTGCCCAGAAATGTTTATCTTAACAAGGCTGTTTTAAGATGCCTTGAAGTCATTCTGTAATTCTTACAGGGTACTCAATTTCTTAAATAAAATAGCACTAGTCAGTGCATATGTTAAGAGCAGACTCCATACTGATATATTGTGAATTATCAGATATTATTTCGATTACAGAATGATGTTAATTCTAGATTGAATCTGGTTTAGATATAATAGCCACTCCACATTATGAAAAAAGGAAACACACCAGGAAAAATGAGGCTATTTGAATGGGTATAATCTGAAGTATTATGAGCTAACGTTTAACTATTTTATAGTAAAAGCAAGTCTAAATCTCACATCAAAATTTTACGAACATAAGGATTTAAAAACTAGACCTCAGAAGCTGGTTTGGCACAAAATCCAAGTCAAGTCAAAGCCTGG